AGTCGTGCATGCCGTAGTCGTTAGAACATTGAGGGGGGAGTGGGTGGGTGGGTGGGGGGTTACACGCACCTCAAGTGTGGGCAGTGGGGGTTATCAGCTAGACTGGTGGCCGCTTGTTCGTCGCTTTTTCCACCACAGCATGAAGGGCGATATCGGCCATCCTGTCTGTCGTGCCTGGCTCCTACACGTATCCTACGGAGCTCTGCTGCATCGCTCGCTCTCTGGCTTGCAACAAATATGACCGCATCATTACACCTCCGGTTGGTTGTCCTAAACCACACGTCAACCCTGCACTGCTGTGACACCCAAAACAGGCAGCAGGTGGAGGGGCTCCTCGAAGAGAACCCCAAGTTCCGCGCGTTGGATAAGGCCATCGCGAAGGAGGGCTTCAAGGTCATCCTCCTCCTCAGACTCAGCCCCATATTCCCGTTCGCGCTGAGCAACTACCTCTACGGCGTCACTTCGGTGGACTTCCTGGAGTACATGATGGGGACCCTGCTCGGGTTCTTCCCCGGCACCTTGGCCTACGTTTACGGTGGAACGGTGCGTTTGTTGTTGTTGTTGCCACTGTGACCGTCGTCGTCGTCGTCGTCCTTGCCATTTTTGTTGTTGTTATTGTTGTGTGCTGTTGTTTAGTGTCGTCATCGTTGTTGTGTTTGTGCTGATAGTGCTGAAGGTAGGATAGGGTTAGAGTTATAGGCTCGTCGTTGTTGCTGATGGTGCTCTTGGTGCTGACAGTGGTGATCGTGGTTCTCCCTCTAGTGGGCCTCCGTGTACAGTTGTGCTGTGACGAACTATGTGATTATTGTGGGCTTAATGATACAGCCAATTAGCGCGCGTATGCGTACGCGAGAAAAGACATTTGGCACTTGGAACTACCAGAACAAACAACGACTCGGCCCAAATCATCTCTGCCCAAGCCTCCCTGAGCTGAATCGTCTAAAACCCCACACTTTCCTCGCTGTCATCTCCAGCTAATCGTTTTTTTATGGATTCCCCCCCACAAGGTTGCACCCTGTCCCCAACATTGTTCCAGGTGTTAATCAACGATCTGTTGGAAGTCGTAGAGGCAGTCCGGAAGGGAGTACAAGTAGGAGGCACGGAAACGTCGGTTTCAGGAATGCTGTTTGCGGATGATTTTTTCGGTATGTCGGACACCCCTGAGGGACTGCAACTGCAAATCGACGCGGCGAAGAAGTTTACTGAGAAGTGGGGATTGTCTGCCAACGTTCAGAAGAGTGCCGTCATGGTATGCAACGAGAACAAGGAGGAACCAGTAGAACATAGATGGAAGTGGGGGATCGAGGAGATTGTAGTAGTGGACCAGTACGCATACCTCGGAGTAGAGATCGCAAAAGACTGCTCGTGGAATGCACACATGTCCAAGGTAGCGGAAAAGGGCAAAGCACGAGCAGGGAAGCTGCACCCAATACTCGCAAACCGGCACCTCGATACACGCATCAAATTGACGGTTTTGAAGAGCGTAATCGTACCGCCGCTAGAGTACGCCGGAGAAGTATGGGAAGGAAATAAGAAGGTAGTGAAAGAACTCGAGGCGGCGCAGATGAAAGCAGCGAAAACCATCCTAGGATGCTCCAGGCGCACAAGTAATGCAGCCGTGAGGGCAGAATTGGGGGTCCAATCCCTACGGTCGGGAAGAGACGCGAGGAAGCTGACCTGGCAGTATCGCATGTGCGGGATGGGAGAGGAGAGGTTGCCGAGGATTGTATGGGAGGCGAAGTGGGCAAACAAAAAGAGGGGTAGACAACCCACGGAATGGGTCAAGGTTGTAGAGGACGTATGGAAGGGGCTCGACATCGACGAAGATGAAACGCTGGAAACGGAGGGTCTACAGGGGTTCAAGGAGAAGATATCTGTTGCTTGTGCCGAGAGAGAAGAACAGAATCTGAGGAAAGAATCCAAGGATAAGGAGGGTCTAGAAGTGTACGGAATGTTGAAGGAAGGAATAGGGTTCAAGGACTACCTACATGGACCAATGGATGCAGGAACAAAGCTTAAGGTCAAATTCAGGACCGGGGACATAGGCCTTCGAGAACGTCGACGAAGACATAGGACGGTAGACGAGGAAGACGACGAGTTCAAATGTGATTGCGGCTTCGAATGCGAAGACCGTGTTCATGTAGTCGCGGAATGTCCGTTGTACAAGAAGGAGAGGGAAGTGTACGTGACTGAGCTGGGAAAAATAGATGGAACGTACAGGGAGATGTTTGAGGCATGGAATAGAGAGGAAAGGACGGTAGCTGTACTGGGGCATAGGAGGTGGGTTGAAAAGGCGGGAAGGGATATCGTTAGGATAGACAGACTAGGGAAGACATTTTTGAGCCACCTTTGGCAAAGTAGAAAGGAACGATTGGCCATCGGTGATCGGTCCTGTGGGAACAATGCTCCGTCCTCTCGAGGACGCGTGGTCAATGGTCTAACCGCTAAGACATGCAAAACATAAGAGTACGCCCCCCCCTTTAGTTCTTCTATTTTTCTTTCTCTGGCCGAAAAAACTCACCTACTCCCAACCAACACGACACGTTCTTCTGTTTTTTTCAGCTTGGCAAGGTCGTGACGGACGGTGGAGGCACAGGTCTGCCCTGGTACGGCTACGTCGCCGGCGCCGCCCTCACCGCATACCTCCTCAAGACCGTCGGCGAGATCGCCACTGCCGCGGTCGAGGAGATGGAGGAGGCAGACCCGTGAACGAAGCTCGCGGGATTCCCGCGGTACGGTACGGGGCACGCAATCAGTCCAGAAAGGAAGACAAACAATCTTTTCTACAACAGGGCATTGGAGGCGTTTTGGTGGTGGGGGGAGGGGGGCGACGCCTCAACCGAGTTGCAGAACCTGGTGAATGGGCCTCTTTTGTTGTTCTGCCGAGGGAACCGAAAGTCGTTCCGTTTTTTTTCTCTTTATTTGTGTCCACGTGGCTGGTGTGTAGTCGTGATTGAACAGCCGTGGTGTTGGTTTCGAGGGCGCTCGCTTTGTCTCCCGACCACCTCGAAATTATGTCATCCGTCTATTCACGGGAAACCGTCTACTTACGGTTCCTGTTTTGGAAGGGCTTGGTACTATGCGGCCACCAGCAGCCACCAGCTATAGGCGAAAGCCAGCATTAGAGCCTCCTATCTCTAGCCTCTGTGAGATCAGCTTGGACCACACAGCTGTAGCCACAAACTAGTGTTAGAGCCTCCTGTCTCCAACTTGTGTGCAGGTACAGACCCGTAGGTTTATGCACGAAGCAAATGTGTTCGCAGGAGCCATGGTGAACAAACGTTGGGTGTAGTATGCGAGACGCCCCGCATGATGCTTCCCTTCCTGAATGATCGTCCATATAACTCCTATGCTTTCTGTGGGAGGAAGTTGCTGCTTCTTTGCTGAGTCACATTGCTTGTTCTTTGCTGAGTCGTATGGATCGATTACTCTGGCTGCTTGCATCTTTCTATGTTCGAGTGAGCTTCCGCGAGTGCTGGGTGAATATCTGTCCAGGCGGTTTGATGTAGAGCGCTCTTTTGATCGTGTTCGATGGAAGAGCCACCATCATGAGGCAGGGGTGTAGGTTCTTGCTCTCTGTGCCTCCGTTGACAAGAGAGCCTTGCATAGTAGAAGTAGTTGCTTCTGTAGGAGGCGAGATTCTAGACCGGTGCTCGTGTTTTGTACAGCAAAGAGGGGAGGGAGGAGGTGGGGGGCTTTGCCCCGTCGAGGAGAGACGTTAACGTTGCACTTGTTTCGTGTTGCTGCTATCTATGAGAGTGAGAGATTTTCCAGCATCATGTGGCGACGCTCGCCTCTCAAATCGATGTGTTGATTTGTTTTTCGCCCATTTTTGCTGAATTTTGGAGATTATTACGAACAGTTCATTCCCTTGTTTTTTTTGCTCGGTTTCTTTCACCGCAAATGTTTTGTCTTCGCGTACACGATGGGGGGTATTTTCACACGCCTCGTGCGTCTGAAAATGAGCTAGGAGTGCTTGCGCGGGATGCGCTTGGCGTGAATTTGCCTGTTTATCTCTCACTCCCTGCTCAAACCCGTCGGAACGCTTGTTTCCAAAAAAGCGGTGGCGTATAGCGTGTTGCTTTTCGAGATGAACGAGAACAACTCCGTCCGGTGGGCAATTCCCTTGGTACTACATGGGTGGTATTCTTTGGGGTTCGTGTATGCATGTGGCCATCTCTGCCGTGCCAAGTGTCGTATATCACATTGGCATTGGCAACGGAAGGCCCTTCAAAAAAGCTTTTTCTAAAGAAAAAGCGGGCAGTTCAACCTTGGGATTCTGCCATCGATATCCCGGTGTGTGTATGAATACTGTACTCCATATGCAACAATGTACGACGACATCAATAGAAATGCTGCCAACTCGAGACAGGGCATATGTTGAAGCCTTCTCCAAGAAAACTCAATTATCACTGCTGGGTCATGCTGGACGTCGAAAGATGAGTCTTCTTACGAGTACAAGTACGCAATTTGTTGTTCGAGGAAACATGAAAACAAAAGTTACTCCGTATTTTTTTAAGGTTTCTTGTTTCGCTGTTTCTTCATGGCGCAGTATGTGTCTTGCTGGTCCTTACGCCGCTGCAATGCCGAGTGTGACACCACTACGCAGCCCCGATCAAGTGGCAACATCGGTGCAAATCTGCCTCTCCCCGGCAATTTCCGCGCCTGCAAAGTGGTCGATACAGTCGCCCCCGCTTGAAGGACGCTCGCGTTAAGGAAGCTCCCCGTTTTAAGGAAACTTTTAATGGAGCACCAGGGGGGCCGAAAGAATGTGTGATAATGGGGTACCCCAATTTTTCTGCCGCGTACCCCCCTTCTTGTGTCCTGCGGGCCGCTCTTTGCATGCACCACGCACCACAGCAGCGAGTACAGATGTAGCGACGCATAGACAGCGGAAGTAGCGAGCGGTCTGCTGCTACAGCTGTAACTGGGTGTTGGTATGGATAGATTTCTCCCGTCTACCGGCGGTCCATCTGATGCCGCAAAAAAAAAAGTCGTGCATTATAACCTCGTCCCACACCGAGGACGAGGATATCTCTCGCTTGGAGGACTTTCGATCCTATGTGTACGCGAAGGGAAGGGGCGGCCAGTACCGTGAGACGCAGTACCTTCTTTCGAAGACCGTTCATTCGTATACTCATGAAACTCAAAATAGCCGTAGAGCCAAGCCGCGGGGGGAGGTTCAGGGAACTCTTTGCGATATGTAGAGGAGGGAAAAGTGGCCGAAGCAAGGGTAGCTTTTCGTCTGCGCCGGGACAGATATTATTTGAATACAACATACATACATGTACTGGTGTTCCTCGGTGCGACGCTGAAGAAATACGCTCGATGTTTTTTTTTTCACAAGACTGAGATAAATAGNGCAGTACCTTCTTTCGAAGACCGTTCATTCGTATACTCATGAAACTCAAAATAGCCGTAGAGCCAAGCCGCGGGGGGAGGTTCAGGGAACTCTTTGCGATATGTAGAGGAGGGAAAAGTGGCCGAAGCAAGGGTAGCTTTTCGTCTGCGCCGGGACAGATATTATTTGAATACAACATACATACATGTACTGGTGTTCCTCGGTGCGACGCTGAAGAAATACGCTCGATGTTTTTTTTTTCACAAGACTGAGATAAATAGACTTTCCTCCTTCTTCCGCTGCCGGCTATGCAGTACATTGGTTGGAAAAGTACAAACTTCTGTCCTGCTACTGCTGTATTATAGTTCAATGTTTTCAACACGTCCCCGACTGCTGTACATGCCATTTTTAAGTATTGTTGAAAATATAAATGTGTTCGACGTCAACAAACGGTTGCCAGTCGTCTCGGCGATGCTGACTTTTCATATCACACCGTCCCTTAGCAAAAGACGCGTAGTCTGAGGTATAGCATGCCTCCATTGACCACGGGGATGGGGAGCTATCGTCCCCTGAATTTTAAGGACGCAACCCCGTTTTGAGGACGCCTTTTTTCGAAAAAAACATGTATGTGCGTGCGTCCCTAAGACCACTGTTCTGTTTATGGCAAACAAATCTTGATCTTCATTCTTCAAAACCTTGGCAAGATAAAAGCGACCCCCCCCCGAGATCAAGATTATTGCATGTACGTGTGTATGGAAAACTGCATCTTGATCTTCTTACTTGGGGGTTGTGGACACCTCGATAGACAAAATCAGCGAGTGCGACCTGAGTTCTTCACGTATCGCTCCCATCAAGGGCTCCGACGAACCCTATGGTGAAGGGTTTGCTGTTTCACACGTTGGTTGTTGGTTGTCGGTCGGGACACGAGCGTAAAAAAAATCATTTCGCATCACACCAAACGTGGAGACTCCCAAACGTCACGAGAGGGCAAAAAAGCCGAAAAAAAGCCGCGTTCTGACA